TAAAATAAAATAAAATAAATTAAAGTCAAATATAGGGGAAAAAAAAAAGAAAAAAAAAAACTACAAAATTTTTCTGTGATACTTTGTACGGAGTACTTCGTATTAAGCAAGTAAATATTAAGCATGTGATGATCAATAAGATCTACACATTATAGTTATATACATCATTTTTATATGAAAATTGTTAGGCTAGCTTTAAGCCTTATGAATTTAAGATAAAAATAATTATAAAAAAACATAATATCAAATTACACACTGCGTTAAATATCGCAAATACTTCTTCCGTTTTTAAATACTTGCTCCACTTTTTATTTCCGGCCGTTTTTAAATACTTGCTCCATTTCTTTAATTGAAAAGCGTTTACAATATTTATATTCTCTTTCCTCCAATTCTCTCAACTACTTTTGCTTTACAATTTTTTATTCTTCCACCTACCCCACTACTTTCACATTTTTTTAGTTTCTCCAATTTCTCCTAAAATTCCGCGCATAGAGATTTAAAGCAAGTATTTAAAATTGGAGGGAATATCAAGTAAGAATGTAAGATACGAACTATGTCGAAGTTACATTGATTCGTTCCATAATAGTAAGATTACTAAGATATCTTGGTATTTACGGTTTGATCTCATTTCTTATGCTACTAGCCCACAAATCCCAATTGACCCTTGCAAGTTGCAACTTGCAAACAAGTAATCTGTGTGACCGTGTATGTAGACTCTCTTTTCTTGTATTAACTTGCATTAGACTTTGGACTATGTACATTTAACATACGAACATCTATTAAAATAAAGTTGCATTTGGTCAATTAACCACATCAGCGGCACTTTAAGCGTGAGAATTCTCCAACTCTTTTCCCTCACTTTTAAGAGACACTGTCTATTGATCCAGGATAGATTGACTTGTGTAAGGTTTCAATTTGATAGGCTGATAAGAGGCCTTTTTCACACGATCCTATTTGATTGCTGATTGATGGGTTCGAAAAGAATGACGTTCTCATCAAGGGAGAGAAGAAAATAAACTTAAAAGTATTCGTGTAAGAGGAGTGATCAATTGCACACATTATTCATTATTTGCGTCCAGTACAGTGAGATTGTGAGAGTTCACAATTTTTTTAATTAGTATGCCGTAGTACGTTATTTTCATAATTAACGTACAATAGTGTGAGAATTATTGTGAGAGTTTACAATTTAATTTTTTATATGAGAAATAGATTTTTTTTGTGACTATGTTGATCATGGTGAAAATTGATGATTTTAATGAAGAGGAAGAACGTGGCATGATCAAGTATTCAAGAAGATTTTTTTTGTGATTTTCGGCGGATCGTTTGATGATTATATATTGCAATTTGATGATGACAACAAGATGCAGATTTTATTTTATTGTCCAAATCGAACGTTGGAGATCTACACCTCCGACTTGAGGGAGGGTATTAAGATAGGAATGTATATTGTGATATGATATTATGAGAATAATATCATATGAGATATTATTGTGAAAAGATATATGTGAGATATTGTATATAGATTTAGGAAGTTAAGATAATTAGGAATATTATGATTTGATATTCCTATTGTCTATGATGTGGCCGAATATTATGAATGGGAAAAATACAATAAGAAAATATAGAGAAATAATATTTTCCCAAAATTTAACGTATCAAAATCTTTTACAATTTGCGGCTTTGTCCAAATAATGTAAATCCCTACGCTTCAAAGTTTAGTGCAACCGCTTTATATTTCATAGGCAAGATATTGTAAGAAATCAATCAAGAAATTTACTTTATTATCCTTAATCTTCTTTTGATAAAACATGGTTTGGTCAATAACTTGGATAAATACAACCACTTTCAAAATTTACTATCAATGAACCCTAATTTGCGAAGCTTATGGCTTACGATTTAAACCCCTTTAATCACATTTCTCGCTAATTATGATGTTTATTTGCTCTAAAAACTCAGTTTACATACTTTCGAAATGTGAAATGCAACGTCATTATCATGATCATATGATACTAAGAATAGTCTAAACAACCTTCACCAAATTAGTCACTTTCAGCAAAGAATTTGTCTTTAACTAATAAAAAACAAAAACGGTATTCAGAAGCAAAGCATTTAAATGTATAGTTGACAGTAGCCTACATTACATGTATAGCAATTACTTCTTGTGCAGGTTTATTCTTTCTCTGCAACCATGTAAACCAAAGCTAACGTGTTCACCATATTAACAACAATCACATACTAATTATATTATTAATTTCAGATGTTTAAAATTTTAAATAAGGATAAAGAATTTTCTAGTCTCCTCTCTTCTCTCTCTCTTGTTTTTTTTTTTATAAAAAAGCTATAACTCTCTTGAAAGTTAAAAAAAATACCCTACTTTTCTTTGTCAATGTAGGAGATAATTGTCTTTTGGGCTAGACTCGAGAATCCATATCCAACACAAATGCATGTTCTAATGTCCGACTTAGCTATTTAATGAAGTATCAAAGCATCTCACATACGTCTGAGTGTTAAGGATTTGACTTAAGTACTTAATGCGTGAAAAGAAAAAAGTCCAAGTAACATAGCTTTTGGCCGGTTGACTACTTTTTTTTTAAAAAAAAACAATAATAAAAAAAAAATAATATAAAAAAGAGAGAACTTTAAAAGTAGGGTTTAATACAAAGTACTAGATTTTTTTTAATCAAATAACAATAAGGCCCCGTTCACTTCACCTTATTTTTGCCGAACTGAAACTATTTTTACAGAACTGAAATTACAGAACCTGATTTTCTATTATATTTCTTCTTTAAGTTTACTGATTTTTCCTGAACTGAAATTATTTTTACTGAATATTATTTTTTTAAGGTGAAGTGAACAGGACCTAAGTGCTAAATATTTATTTCAACAAGTATTTACTCCATATTTAGGATATTGCTAATGAGTGTCATGAGAGTTAGATAAATTTTTTACATATTCCCTAAAAACGTACAGAGTATTAATTTTAAAATGCATGCTTAAAAGTTAAAACACATATTAATCAGTTTAATTAATTTATTTTAATTTAATACTTCCATTTTTAGTCATTTTAATTTGTATAGACTACAATTTTATAGTCATTTTAATTTGCCAAATATTTAAACTCACAAAGAACGTACTTGGGTAATTTGTATAGACTACAATTTTATAGAATGACACTCATTATTTAGGATTCATCTTAAGTTGATAACAAATAAGTACGTTGCTATTTCTTTAAAATTATAACAATTTATTTTTATGAAGTAACATTTACAAGTATTTGACATCATCAATTTTTGATTTTTTGTCTTAAGACAAGACTTTATTTTTTTTTATGCATTTATGTGGCTTGGTCTTAACAAAATCTCAAGTGGAGTTTTGAAAATTCAAGACTCAACTTAACACTTATACACTGTATTTTTACCTATGTACATATCAAAACACAGTATTTTGATTTAAAAAAAAAATTAATTTTTTTATTTTTAAAAAAATTTAATTATTTTACTTATATAATTATTTTGTAAACATACGTTTTTTTTTGAAACAAAGTGTATATATGCATCTAGCTGCAGCAAGACTCACTTGAAAAACTTGAAGAGCATCCATACCCATCCTTGGATTGTGGACCTTCATTTTACTGTATCCTTTATCAATAACATAAAACATGTTACTACACATAAACAATTTTAATGATATAAAAAAAAAAATTAGTTTTAAAAAGTCAAGTAAGCAACTTAGATGGATAACCAATGAAACAAGTGATATTATCTTAATTATGTATCTATCATAGTATATGTGCTCTTAACATTTTATGATATTAATCTTAATTAGATTTTTTATCTCAAAATTAAATTTTATAATTTCATGTAATTCCATTATAATTTATTTTTATGCATCATCTATATTGCATAATGTGAATTTTAATATTAAAGTATAATATGTTAAAAGAAAAAAAAATAATAAATATTTTAAAAAAATCTTAAATGAGTCTTAGGAATGAAGAGATAAATTTGGTTGAGTGTTAAGGTGTCTTAACATAAATTTAAATTTAAAAAAAATAATTAAATTTAAGCTTATAACTGATGTGGTTCTAAAAGATTAATAAGTTTGAGTTAACCAAATCAAAAAAGTTTGAGTCAACCACATAAAAAATAGTTAAATTTAAGCTTATAACTCCAAACTTAGCATTTAGAACCTAGCTCACTCTGGTCAAATCAAAAAATAATTAAATTTATGCTAATTTTTTTTTTTTTTTTTTTTTTTTTTTGAAAACTTAGCATTTAGACTGCGCTGATCTTGCTAAAGCACAAATTACTTGATATATTGAAAATATACATGGACATTAATTCAATTATCCAACAACAAATAATACCAATTTTTATAGTAAACATGTGATAAAAAAAAATGATAGAGTACTTGTTATAATACCTTAAATCCACCAATCTTTTTTTATTCTTCTCACTTTGACAACAACAAGAACAAAGATTCAAAACTTTTCTTTTGGCAAGTTAATTAAAAAGAAACACTTGCAAAACTACTTCATGTAACCGGTGGTTTTCTACACTCCATTTGCATCTCTCCTCCAGCCTTCTCTGTAAAAACTATACTCCATAATGCAAAAAACGGAGAAAGCATATATATACTCCATGATGCAAAAAGTCAAATTATCGTCATTTTAAAGAAATACGGAGTAGAAGAATTAATACACTAAAAAAAATCTTTCAAGGCAGGTAGGCCAGGTACTTGTTTTAAAGCTGGTTAACTCAAACTTTTTTGATTTGACCAGAGTGAGCTAGGTTCTTGTATAGAACTGAAGCATGCTTTATGAAGAGTGACATCTCCTACATGACTGTTTGAAGGCAAAATCATCACGATTTTGAATTTTTTAGAAATCTTATTTCATGATTTATGCATATGAAAGTGTAAAATGGCCATGATATGGTGTCAACTACGTTAGATAACGATGGAGTAAAGGATTAGAGGGGATAGTAAGAAGGCAAAACAAGTATCAGAAAACAAAAATCTATTTTCTTCGTCATTGCTTTCATGGGATGAAAAAGTGATAATTTACATAAATTTCCTTCCTTTTCCATCAATATGATGACGCTACCATAACTTATACTTAGTATGAAAGAACAACCCTACCACAACTATTAATCAGAGTCCGACTCCATGTAGTTACCCATTGCCTTCAATCCTCTCGGCCTCTGCAATACATAACAAGAACATTAGACTCCAAAACGAAATAATCTAAACATTCACAGTAAGCGTTAATACAATTTTCATGGCAGTAGGGTGGCTTTCATCTTTTTAGAAAGCCATCTTAGTTTCTTAGTTATGAAGTGTTAAATTGAATATGGTTTAAAGTATAGCCTGAATTACCTTCTTTGTAATCTTTTTCTCTCGCACCTCATAGCGCTCCAAAGTTAGATCGCACAACCAACCTCCAGGGCTCACTAACTGCACATATATTACAGTTGAATTTAAACAAACCATATACAACTTCACATGCAGGAAACAAATAAGCTACTCCGTAATAAATAGATAGTTGGATTCTTAGCCTCAAAGGAGAATAAAAAGGGAAAACAATAACTTGAATGCATGAGCACCATACAAGTAAAGGGAGTTGTTCATACTTTTGCTAATTTAATTGAGAGAAATCATCTTATTTCAAAATATTCCTTGTATCTATAACTTTAAGCAGCACTAGCTAGCGTGGCAATACTGGGAAACTGGTTAGACAGAGAATGAAGCACACCCAAATTAAGATCATCATTCTGAGCCAAAAGCTCATAGGTGCTTTGTTATTACGAGCTGGACCAAGTAGTCACCATGTAGGTTGCATCATATTGATATGTATTTAACCGAAAAACTTCCCTGGAATCGAGTTGTATAAATGGCACTATTTGCTGTAGGCTAGAATATTGTTTTGGAACTGTCAAGGACTATGTCTAAATTTTGCTTTAGATCATATAACGCTATGACAAATTGGAGCACATACACCTAACACCTTGATTAGTTACTTATAACCAAGTCACCCAAAATTTAATAGCTGATGGTCCAATGCCTAATTTATTTGGGTGGCCCAGAGTACAGTAATTTCAACTTCAGTTTGCATTTACAGGCAACATTGTAGTATAGATGGATGATGTGCGCAAAATAAATGACAGCTCAATTTAAAATAAGCACCATTTCTGTTTTTCCCAGACAACTTTTGCTTATAAAAACCCAATTCAAGAACCAGAATATTCTTTAAAACCGTAAAATGTCACTCTTTATTTATTTTTCAAATTGCCCAGTTCAAGTCTGTTTTTAGAAGCTCATACTTCATACATGTGCTTTTCTGAAATATTACATGACTTACTATTTGTGTAAGTCAACATTTAAGGAAACCTTTCATCTTTAAATAACTAGTCGGCTTGTCCCCAGATAATAGACCACATTTCCGTGTATATGCGGTCTCTCAAAATTAATGTCACATACTCACATTAGCAAGTTTTCAAACTTTTCCTTAATTACTCTTAATCACTCTAATTATTAAGAGGTTATAATAATTTGATCAATAGTGTACTTGCATATAAGCACTAATATATGTTTCCTAAAATGGTACAAGTATGCAAATTTAAAACAAAATGACACGACGGGGTTATTTACGTTAAATTTTTTTTTTTTTTGGTGTTTAGAGAGCCAAAGCCGAATATTTTTTTTAGTCTTCTTATATGCGACCTTTTTTTTCGTAATTAAAAACGCAAACATTTTTTTTAATAAATATAAAACATGGCCTATTATTTAAGAACTGAAAAAAATAATAAAACAAATTAATTTTTTTTAATTTTATTTTTTGTAAAATAAAAACAAAATGAAGTAGGGGAGAGAAAGAGAGGAAAGCGGAAGAGAAGGCTTACATTGAGGGTACGTTGAACAAACTTAGCACGCTTTTTGGGTCTTTGAGGTAACTTAGAACCTTTGATTGCCATAAAATCCTCTTCTTTTTCTTTATTAGTAAGAGCGATCATAAATTTAGGTGGCCAAACGACGTCGCTTCCACCGCCCGAAGACGACCCACCACCTTTGGTCTCAGACGACGCCGTTTTACCTCCACCATTCATCACCAAATTTTCCTGCTGCTGATGATGATGGTGGGACCCACCTTTCTTTTCTCTCTCCGGTGAACCCAAACCTCTCATCCCTCCTCCTCCATTACTATGCTGCCCCTTCATTGCTGATCCAACTTCTGAATTCCTACACAATATTCATAAAAAAATAATAAAATTAATTAAATAAAATAACCATATAATAACATTTATATCATAAAAGTTACCATTTTTATGTGACAATATTAATGTGAAATTACAAAATTAACCTTGGAAGGTTGTTAAAAAAAGTGGGTTAGTTTAGGTTAATGTAAAGGGTTAAATGGTCTTTTGAATGAAGAAAAACAAAAGAGGAGAGAGAAAGAGAAAATAATGGGGTTAGGCGAAAGGGGTTACCTTTGCTGAAAACGTAGAGAAAACTGAGACAAGTGTGATTCGATAATATTAATAAATGAAAAATTTTAGGCAGCAAAAAAAAAATAAAAATAACGATGCGATTTCCGATTGTGTTTTGGACCGTCGGATTACGGTGTGATTTTTATGTTTTTTTTATTGCCTAAAGAAAAAGTACGTGTCCATGTGTGAGTTTGCTGGTGGTTGTACTAATCAAACGGTATACAATGTCTATGGTCCACGTGGCAGGACATTTTACTCTTTTTTTTTGGGTCAATGTATCAAATTAATACAAAGTGTTAAATAGACAAGGGAGTATAATCGACATCAAAATCGGGAATTTTTTTTGACAAAATCGGAAATTTAGATAAGTGTTTCTATATAAAATTAAGGATAAGAAAATACTAAATCTACTAATTACAGTTTCGAGTTTATTAACGTCGAACATTTGGTTAAAACTTCCAAACTTTGTATCATTTTGGAAAATAAAGAGTTACATAATACGCGGTTAAGGGTAAAATCTAATTAGTTTGTACATGGAAACATATTATCATTATTCAAAGGTTCAATCCATAAATTCTAAAGATTCAATTTCATGAAAGAAATGGAAAGTTCAGGCAATTATTTGTGACAGTCAAGCAAACTCACACAAGATTGTTTTACATGATTGACAGACCATAAAATATCTTAAAGGCAGGTAGTAAAAGATCAAACGAATTATATCAAATTGAATGGATATCCTAAGTGATCCTCCCAAAAAAGAAATATATGTGTCATTCATATGGAAAAAATCATTCAAGATTATGAATATTTGATTTCATGTCCAAAAAGTACAATCTGTTCTAGTCAAACTTATTTTCATATATTTTAAGTCAAATTCACTTAAGTATAGATAAGGTAAGTTCAAGAAAAAATATATTGGATAAAGTTTACCCAAGTTCAAATTATTTTTTTTTTTTACCTAAGTAAAATATTTTTTTTTTTGGAAACCACAGTTAAAATAATTTTAATAAAGTCTAATTTATTAACTAATACTTAAACAAAACATGCTGACATCATCTTTCTCTAAATTGTACACATGTCGCTTTCTCATAAAAAAATTTCCCGCCTAAATGCTTTAATGACATCATCTTTATTTTTTATTTTTTTTTAAAGCTAAACTACTCTATTTTTTTTTAATTTGAAAACTATTTATGAATTTTGAACTAAAAAATCAAATGAATGCTTCTACAAACTACTATACAAATTGTTAATGGTTGAAAGCTAAAATAATAATTTTGATGACATTAATGCTAATTATATTTTTTGAAGCATTAGTGCTAATTATATACTATGTATTTTTTTCTTCAAATTTCATTAATATGCATTCCTTAAATAATTTTCTTTTGACTATTTCAATTATTAATTGTAAATAATGTGCTTTATATATATCCTTAAATGTAAATTATTTTTAACAACCTAGTAAACTCATATAATAATTCATATAAGAAAAGATAAATTCAAATAAGTGAAAATTAAGTGTATATCTATCATATCATAAATCATGGTTACATATCATCATGGCATATCAAATAACGAAACTAGTCATAAGCACAATAAAAATAAAGTTCAAAATAGTCATATCATGCGCATGACAAGATTGTTATACAATATTCCATATCAAACACAATACAATTACCAGAAAACTCAAAAAACAATTAAATTTCTGTTAGCTAAGCCTAAAAGGGCGTGAAATTACCAAGCAAGGATAACATGATATTTTTGCTCCATTTTAAGCTTTAATTAACTAACTACAAGTACTATAATAAAATTAAGAGAGTACAAAAGGCCACAATAATTCACTAATTCTGCCCTTTGTGGGCCCAACATAGGAACCAAATGCTACACTAGGAGCGTAAAGATGCCGACAGAAAATGGCCATTCATATAAAGATTAAAGAAGGAAGAAAAAGTTTGAAAAGTCTATAAACATGTGCTTCGTCAACCCCAAGATTAATCCACAGTTAGTATGTTGGTACAATGGTACATTCAACATAGCCACGGCCACGGACATTAAAATGTTACTACTCCTATATCATTCAGTTTAGTTACTCCGGAATCCAGATCAGTTGCATCACATTAAAGTTCTACTCCGTACTATTTACGTGACAATTAATTTCAGATGAAAAAAATAAATGAGGTTACAGAGACTGAGAGATACAGAGTTTTAAAGTCGATGTAATAATAGAACAGAGGAATTGGCATTTATCATGTTTCTTCATTCAGGAAGGATAGGTGTTTGATATTAGGACCAAAAAATTCAACATGGCCTATCGTTTAAACTAATCCTATATGAGCTATCCTCAATTCATCTAGATTGAGAGAGGGAACGCCAACCCAAATAACAAGTCTTCATCTTCCACAATGGTTTCCTTCACACTCGTCATACTATTTAGCAAAATTAAGGAACTGATCGAAGGGTGGCAAAGTATGATCATCATCAATCAAATTGCTCTAAATGCAACGGTTGGGAAAAATCTGTTCAGATACATTTCAGTAACTACTCCGTATTGAAACCAGAATAACTGGGACACTCAATAGTGATGGTAAGTTTAGATATATATATGGGAAACAACCTTAGGCCTTCCAAGTCCCAACTACGAGAGATGAGATAGGAGAATGAATACTAAGAAACCACCAAACAATTGAGCACTGAGGAGCACAGAGCCTACTGGACACGAAAAAACACAATGCTTCAAGTTCTTGGCAGCACAAATATTATTGGTATATCACAATTACCCCCATACTTCAATATCTACTTCTACATACTAAAGATCCAATAAGACCTGTCTATACCCAAAGTGACTCAAACAAAATTCAATCCGCATGGACACAACCCTAGCATGAGCCAAACCTCGTAAAACATAACTGAACCATCAGATTTTTCCATTTTTGAGAGTCTCCATAATTATCTATATAACTAACAAAAAAAAAAATCGTATTTAATCACTTAATTTATTACTCTAAATAATAAACACTCCCCAAAGACGCCAACAAATATTTAGTTAGGAAAATTCCATATCTACCCAGTGGGTAGATTACCCATTAGAAATATAATCAAAAGTGAATTATTTATAGTACATATTCTATTTCTAGTGGATAATTTACCTAGTGGGTAGATATAACATTCTCCATCAAAACAAAAGATTTTAATTAACACTGGGTTATACTCCACTAATTTTGCAAACGAATTGAGAGATAAATTTTCAAGGTACATTCATAACTTTTTTGCATCCCTATACTTTGGAATATTAAGTCAAATACATCCAAAATATTGCCGAAAGGACACCAAAAAGTTATATAACACTTAAAACTTTTCTCCTTTTAAGTTTACAAAATTTTGAAACCTAAATCACTATAATCATTTAGTTACAACCAACTATACGTTGCATTGTACACCACAAAGAATATTCAAGACATGAGCACGCCTCGTGGGTACATAGTGCCTCGTGGGTGCATCATATAACTCTTGTATTGTAAAGCATACTTTACCGTAAATTGGCTGCTGGGCGCTAAGGACTAAACACAATACCCACAACTTCTGTACGAGAGATCACCCACCAAATCTAAAAGTTAAAAAGAACTGTAAGAGAAAGAAACCCTCAAAATCCAGAGTATTTTGGCAAAAAAATGTACTTGGAAAACTTTCGTTCCTCCCAAAATAGCACCTTTGCAAAGCAATGCTCTTACCGCTTATAGAGCATTGCAAGCTAAAAAGATAAGATTACTTCTTTGTTGTATAATGGTATCCACTTGAGAAAAACCAAATGAAATCTATATGTCTATATCATGGCTTCTTCCTTGAGGTAAGCCAAAGTAGACAAGAAATGCTTGCGTGTAATGTACTTGTTATCATTCATTTATGATACTATCCAACAAACTCTAGATACAGAAAAACTTAAAAAGAATGATAAAGGAGAAGTCTGAAAAGATGGGTGAGATGTAAAGCCAAATTCATATAAATTGACCCAATAAAAGATACAAGCACCAACTTAGGCATCTTCTCTGCAAGCCGACATGGCGACATCATAAATTTGAATTTCCACCAAAATCTATTCACCCCATTTTAAAATAATCTAAAAAGTTTAATCTATCATCACAAACCACTAGATGTCCTTAAGAAGTCATCCTCAACAAGAACCACATTCGATGGCGTTCGAGGTGGTTTATTCTCAACAAGCCAATTTTTCCACAGTCCTCACATCAAGCCACCTTTGGTTCACAATTCACAAAATAGGCTCAACTTGGGATGAATTGGCAAACAACAATCCAATTATGTTTATATATGTAAACAGTCATTATTCTCAACAACTATATACACACACAAAAGAGCAGATACACCAAAATTTATGACAATTAGCTCATTCAAGAATACACAATAAAACCATGATCAAGAATTGAGCAAAAATTAAGCAGTTCAGAAAAAATTATACCTGAGAATTCGCGAAGGAGGCCGAGCTGGAGATGCAGGCCGTTGCCGGAGATTAAAATGCCCATTTGCAGGATGATTACCACTACCAATTGTATTATTATTATCTTTATTATTATTATCGGATCTAACTACCCGCCGGTCCACCCGGACAGTTGTCCGGGTGGTGACCGGGGCGGAGTCATTTTTAACCTGGATCTTCATACACCGGAGACGCTTCCGGCTACCCCACCGCAACACGAAATCCGCCGATTGGGGAGGCCTAATGAATCCCTCCCCAATTATGTGCTTCTCCCTAAGACTACTAGTTGAGGTAGTAGTATTATTGTTGTGGGGATGATGATGATGCTGTTGTTGCAGCTGGTGATGATGATTCTTTACCACTTCCTTTTCCATCTACTACACCTGTCCCCATCAAAGAACAAATAGTATATATAGATATAATATAGAATACAGTCAGAAATTAAGCATTATTGACTAGAGTTAATTCAAACATTATTTGGTTTAGGTTAACTTGGGTTAGTTGGGTACGATTTTTAAAACAAAGTTTTAAAAAATAAATAAGATTCTGGAAGTGGAGGAGGGATGGGATTAAGCTGCCTTTATTACTTTATAACATCATCTCATATTTCATACACTAAAATACATTCAACTTCAAACCCATACTCATCATTGACAATTTTTTAAAGAAAAACAAAATTCATTTCTAGCTCCTTCATAACCAAAAATAAAATATTAAAAATTAAATCAAAGAAATACACCTAAAACTCAGAGCAACATTAATGGCGGAAAATAAATTAATGAAGATCAATTTCCCAAAAATATATCAAAATTATCAAAAAAATTAAAACAAAAAAAGCGGCCTACTCTATTAGCCAACAATTGTGCAAATTCGGGATCCAAAATTTTGTTTCGATAAATATTCATTTTTTTAGTAACTCATTTAGAAACTGAACCCAGATAGAACAGAGAAGAAGTTTTTTTTTTAAGGAAATTATACAAAATTAAATGAAAATATAAATCGAGAAGTTTGGCGCAAAAAAATTAAATTAAGAAGAAAAACAAGTTAGAAATTGGTGTTGAATAGCTGGAAAAGAGAAAACCACTCAAACAGGAGAAAACCGCCGTTTAACAACTTCTGAATTACATTGCGATAGAAAAGATGAAGAATTCTGGTAAATTATACCACTCAAAAGACAGAAATTCTGCAGAAAACCACTCAAAAGAGGAAAAATCTGCAGAAAACCGCCGTTATAAAATACTTTCAGAAATACATTTGACGTTATGAAATTAAGAAGAAAATAGAAAGAAAAAAACTGATCGATTAAATTCAGCAAAAAAAAAAAAAAAAAAAAATTGCTGAAAGTGATAAAATTACAAAGAAGATAGAGACATTGTTTCACCTGAAGATTAAACTTGCGATTTTTTGGAAATGGAAAATTAAATCTCAGCTTCAATGTTTGGATTCTAAAAATAGGAGGAAAATGTAGAAGATTCTTCAATGCACTGCAAAATTGAAGATAAACCTTTAGATTGAGCTGATTTCAACAAATATGGCGGAAAATCAAATTGAAGCGACGACTTCGAAGATCGGTACCAGTAATTGCAGTTTCTCTCTCTTCTTTGTTATTGATTCTTCTGTACTATTGAGCTTTCAAATCGCTGCAACACAAATTTGTTGAGCACAATACCAGGTTAATAATCAAAATTGGTGAAGAATCAAACAAAAATGGAGCAAAAATCAGTGTTTTTCTAGAAAATTTTCTCACTCTTCGCAACAATTTACCTGTTTTTCTCTTTGAATTCAACCGCAGAACTGAAGAAATCTATCGATTTCCAGAAAAGTAGCTGTAAAACAGAAGAAATTTAAACAAAAATAGTCTATTTTTTACCAGAAATGCGATAAATTTGTTAGCCAAAATTTGATCAACAACAAGTTTTAATTCATTCAATTGTTCAATAGTCCAATTCTATATCAAAATTTTCAACCTGGATGAAATTTCTATCATGAAACTTCACACATTTTAATCAATTTTACCACAAATTTCCGAATTTAAATGATTAATTTCCGAATCCCGCCATTGAAACAAAACCACAAACCTTTAAAAATCCAGCACCAAAATCCAGAAACAAAATAAAGCTCATTCAAGATCGTCAACTACAGAGAAAAACTACACTCATAATTCATCAATACTCTGTTTTTCATTGCATTTTCTTCAGGAATTATCAACAAAATTGTAAGATTGTAAATATTTGAAGAATTGAAGAAGATGAAAGTGCATATGAAAGAGGTAAGAGAGAGAAAGTAGAGAGAGAAAGCTTGAATGATACAAACAGAGAGACGAATGAAAAGAAATGTTCTCTCTCTACTTAAACTGCTCATTTTATACCCACCCGTTTCTTTCTTCAACTCCCATCTTAAAATCACAGCCGTTGATTTTCAATCCAACGGTTCATACATCGTCTTCCCCGAAAACTGTGACGATTTTTTATTATCGTTTTATATTTAAGCGGGTTATTATTTAACGCCGTTTGTAGATCTAACGGAATCTTGAGCATCCCCGTTTTTTAATTTTTTATTTTTAATTTGGAGTATTTTAAAATGGTATTTCTCGTTCACCGAAGCAAAGGAATGGCATTGAGTGGGAATTTAAAACCAAAGGAGTTGGGTTAGTTGAAGGGTTGGTTAAATGTTAACCATGGTTAGATGTAACCCTTGTTAATTGTCACGAGTGGATGATTCATGAATCATGGGCTCATGCCTCATATTTTAAGATCATAATAAAACAAGGTCTCATTGAAAAGTTGCACGGCGCATTGCATAATGTACTCATAGTTTCATACTCCCTTCGATTCTTAATATACCTAGCGAAATCGGATCAATTTGAATTTGGAGCATATCGTAAGATGGATGACTTGAAATTGACTTGATATAAGGAAATCGAAACTAATCAAAAGCTAGATTTGATCCAACTTGAACAAATTTGATTGAAATTGGATATAACTAGAGTTAATTTGTTTTGCACAATAAATCAATTTTCAATAGTCATGTAAATGTGCAAATGACTTGATATGCAATTTGAAAATCTCCTCACCTTGACCCAAATCTACATAGGCATAACCTTTCTCATAAAGATGGCATTGAGTTAAGACAGCCCAAGGCATGACACAACCCAACAAAAAAAAAGCACATCATGACACGACATGTTATTGAATGTGTTAAGTTGTGGGCTAGCTTAGGCCGATGTTATTTGAATGAAACGCGACAAGGTATAGCACAACACGACATGGCAAAACAAAACACATTAAAAATAGTTAAATTTTGACTTAAGCAAGCAAACACGATACAACCCGATAGGCAACACGTAGGGTTGGGCCATGCATCCGCTGAATTATTGGAAAAAGGTAGTGATTAGGGGATTTTTATCCACCAATCACCGTCTAATAAGTGGACCAACCAGGTTCCGCCACGTGTCCTCCACGTAGGCCAATAGGAGCCTGCCACGTGTCAATCACAGATACGTCCTCTACGGACCAATTGAGACACGCCACGTGTCCACCCATGCCAAATGGGAAAACCGGCCACCCAGGCCCAACTTCCGAGGGAAGCCCAATCGGCCCTAGGTTTACCTAAACCTAGGATGGGCACGTTTCCCAAGGTTATAAATACCTCCCTTAATCCTCATTAAGGGGGGGGACAGAACAGAAACATTACGGAACACACTAATAACCGGCTGATCTCGCTAACAAAGCAGATTACCTACATTAAACACTCTCACCTAGAGAGACCTTATTACTTTAATTTCCGCGTTAATTACTCCTTAATCAGGTACTAACTTGACCGTTGGAGGCGGAGCTCCCAGGAGTCTCCGTTTTTTTGCAGGTACAGGCGTCCGGTTCCAGTCTCGGAATTGTAACTCTCCCGCAGGACATCAGAAAACCCCGAAACATTTGGCGCCGTCTGTGGGGAGAGTACTTCAGAGATGGCATCCAAGTCTGTACCGACTCCTGAAGAGAGGCGTCCCCTAAACGACCCTCAAGTTCAGTCGGACCATGACACCGAAAGTGAATTTGAAGTTGAAACTCATACAGCTTCAGACGGGACCCTAAGGGCCCGACGTACCCGTCATACCGAAAGGAGGGAACGGGAGCATCTTCAAACAGGAAGCGAGCCGGCAGGCGCACCGCCTGTTCAGCAACAGCCGACTGATGGGTCTGCTCCCATCACAAGGAACGAACTCATAACCTTCATGAGGGACTTCAAGGGAGAGATTCAAGAGTTGATCAACAAGAAGCCGCCTGCTTCAGTCAAGGAGCAGTCGGCCAAGAAACCCTCCACTTCACTGAAGAGGAAGCCAGTTCAAGGGCGAGAGGCGACTCCTCATCCTAAATCTAGGAAGCGGGAGCCACCTGCCCTTGATTTCACAAAATTCCGTTATCCTACAGGAAATAGGAAACCGGTTCGTCATATTCAGGCGGACGGGTCAAAGCAAACATTCACAGATGCTCGGCTACTGCTAGAACAGAAGAAGAGTGACCGATTGTCAGAGTCGGCTTCTACTTCAAACTTTCAAGACAGTTTGCGAAATGCCTCGATGAGGCATACTCAGTCGTACCATGAGAGTCAGTCAGGCGGCACCTCCCGTCAGTCCGGCTTTCATAGTGCCCAGGCGGTACCAAACTTACCATTTGTGCCGCAACAACAGTATTTTATGCAGCCACCTCCATTTGGTGGACCTACAGCAAAAAACGTCCAACCTATGGACTGGCAGCTACGGTTGCTTAGACTTGGTGAACAGCCGTCGGCCTTCTCCAAGGAAATTACTGACGCCGCTCAGCCGGCCAAAGTAAAAAATGTACTAGTAGGCGCCTATGACGGCACTACTAACCCAGAAGACCATCTGATGGCATTCACCAACCTGATGTACCTTCAAGGGTTGGATGATCCCACTTGGTGCAAGTGTTTCCCAGCGACTCTCAAAGGAATCGCACAGCAATGGTTCGGCAACCTGCCGACTGGTTGTGTAAATAGCTTCAGGACGCTTGCTTACTTATTTGCCTCCAACTTCGCCATGAACATCCCTGCGAAGAAAACGACCCTTGATTTGGGAACAATTCAGCAGGGCGAGAAGGAGGGGCTTCGTTCTTACATCAGGCGGTTTAACCTGATGAGAATACAGATTCAAGGGTTACCGGATGAGGTAGCTTATACCGACTTTTTTAGAGGTCTCAAAGACGGGTCTACCTTCAAATTTGATTTGGTTCGAAAAAGGGTGGCGACTCTTCAAGAGGCCTTGATTGAAGCAGAAGCCTATATACAGGCGACTGATCTGTGTACGATAAAACAGTCGGACGGGAAAAGGTTCGACAAAAGAGAAGGACGACAGAAACAGTCGTCAAACAAAGATGAGAAAAGAAAAGAGGTCTGGGCGGCTGATTCCTCTAAACAGCCGGCCCAGAAAAAGAAAAAAGAATTCAAACCATACTCCCCAAAGTATGCGTTTAACAAGGATAACCAGTTTATCCTAAAAGAAATTAAGGGACGGATCTCAATTGAGAAGCCGGTCCCCATGAAGGGTTCTGCAAACAACCGAAACCAAGATAAAATCTGTGCTTATCATGATGACGTTGGTCATCACACCAATGACTGCATCAGTCTTATGCGGTACCTAGACCGCCTGGCTGAGCAAGGTGATCTTGACACTTATGTCAAGAAATCTACGGGGAACACTTCCTCAAAAAAGCTGTCGGCCAAAAAGAATCAACAGGCCGACAGCTCCGATACAGATGATGCAGTCGTCTACACCATTGCAGGCGGCTTCTCAGGAGGCGGTCCCACTATTAGGTGCGGAAGCTGTTCTTCCAATAGAACACTACGAGCCGACTCTTCGAGTAATGCTATATGACGAAGAGGCAAACTGGGAAGCCATGCGCCTGGCATTAGACTCACTTCCTGAAAAGAGGGGCAATGATGTCTTGCGCCATGAGATCTATCGCCTGAGAATGACTAGATCATACAACAAAAAAGTACACAGGCGTCCACTCAAAGTAGGGGACTTTGTACTTAGAAAAATGGAAGCAGTTGGTAGGGCTAATGAGTCTGGCAAACTAACTCCCAACTGGGAAGGACCCTACCGAATCTATGAGGAAGTCAGGGACGGTACCTACCGTCTGGAAACACCAGACGGACAACCGTTGCCTCGAACTTGGAATGTAGATAATCTTAAAAAATATTTCTTTTGAATGATGTAAAGTAAAGAGCTACTTAATAAAAGTTTGCACTTACTATTCAATTTTGTATTACGAGGGGCATGCCGTCTGTACCTTTACAGTCGGCTACTCTCCATTGAGTTTTACACTCTATCTTCAGAGGGGCATGCCGTCTGTACCTTTACAGTCGGCTACTCTCCATTGAGTATTTCACTCACAATAGGGGCATGTCGCCTGGGCATATAGTCGGCTACTCTCCATAAGAAGATGGCCGACTGGTTCCAAGCACATAGCCACCCCCCTAATACTTAGCTAAAAAGATTAGGGCCTGGCCGACCCTGTGCCTAACAGGCGGCTACCCTTCTTTTATTTAGCACCTACGTTCACCAAGAACTTACCAAGGCCACAGGCCGAATGATCAGACCAGGCGCCAAGCCAACTGATCAAATCTACAAAACTAATACGACCTGTCCCAACATCATAGCAGGCGTCCGACGGCATCCCTCCGGATGAAATTCGTCGCAGAGAGCAGCTCCCTTTTGGGTGGAACATTGTTCTATAAACTAATTACACGGCACCTATACGACTGTCCCCAAGGGCAACCACGTAGCCGTTTTTGAGACAAGGATAACTCTATCACTAACCAAACCAGTGGTAGCAGTTGACATCTGAGTCAGATGACCGCATGTATTACTTGGGATAAATGCAGGGGGTACCTATTGAGTTAATAGCCAACAAACATTGGCGAATCAAGGGGTCTAGCCGGCCTACGCCGCCTGGTACCTCTACTACTCAAACAAAAGTGACGGCGACTGAGTAACTCCAACGATAACTCAGTCACTCCCTCAAATTTGGTATGGAACCTAAAAGGTTTGAGTCGTCCGCCTGTTTTTAACAAACAGGGGCACTCAAACCCCTATTCCTACTAGGTAACCTATTGAGTTAATAGCCAACAAACATTGGCAAATCAAGGGGATCAGCCGGCCTCCGCCGCCTGGTACCTCTACTACTCAATCTAGATTGTGACGGAGACTAAGTAACTCCTATGTTAACTTAATAGTCACTCAAACTTAGTATGGAGCCTAAAAGGTATGAGTCGTCCGCCTGTTTTTAATAAACAGGGGCTCTCAACCACTACTCTTGCTAGGTTAACAAATTATGAGTTAAAAGC